CCAGATAACTTTCATGGCAGGATCACGTGTTCTTTGAAATTGTCTCCTACGGACATTTTTAAGACGGATCAAGAGCTGAAGATCGTCGTCTATTATAATCGAATCGAATTTAACCTCGCATTTTGGTACTGAGGCAGCTCTTGCTTCAACTATAGAAGTAGTCAGAGATTCAAGAGCATAATTAATTTCATCTTTGGTTTGCAAAGGAATGTTTGGATCGAAGTTATATTCCATAAATGTTCGATATTGCTCCCAATCAGCTCTATGGTAATTGAAAGTAGAGCTGTTGGGATTAGAAATTATTTCTTGGGATATTTCAAAAGTTACTGGAAGGTGATCAGAACCGAAGTCAGCATGGGTAACCAATTGGCTACAAAGATGACATGAATCAGTTAAGACCAAATCAATAGTTGAGGGATTTCTTGCAGAAGAAAAGCATGTTAGAAGAATTTTATGTTTGATTCGTCTATGAATAATGATGGCAACGCCACCACAGGGTCCATCAAGACGATCATTTCTATAAATCATGTAATTTGCGTCCTTCTTAACCTTATGGTCAGGTTTAAGGAACGTTTCAGTTATAACGGCAATATGCACGTTATGAACTCGCAAAAAGTTAAATAGCTCGTCTTCATTATCTTTAAGAGATCGAGCATTCCAATTTACAATATTTAATGCTTTAAAATCCATTACTGAATTTTAAAGTCATGACAATATTATTTGCAAATTTTACTCCAGTTTGAATAGCATCAAACATGGAGTTAGATTTAAGCATATCAGAAATCATGTCAATTAATGATTTCTGTAAAAATTCCATTTTAGGAGCAGTAATGCTTCCTAAGTCAAAATTGTCAAAATTTCCGTTAGAATTACTTTGGTTAGTATTTTGATTTCTACCCGCTGAAATAACAGCATAGGTAGCTCCATTAACTCGCTGAACATTGTTAGCAGCGAGGGGAGTAGGTACAGATGAAAAATTTGAAGCAGGGGTGATATTTGTACCTACGGGTACGAATGTAGAATTTGTTCCTCGCTGACCGTTGTTAACAGCAGAGGAATTTGTACCTGGTCGGAAACGTGGAGCGTTTCTTACCTGTCGGTTAGAACGAGATTGTAGGATCGCTTTGCGAGTCTTACATTCCCAAAAATTGGATTTGTGGTTTTCACCACAATTTGAACATTTAAATTTCTTAGGATCTTCCTTCACAGGACAGTCGTCCTTTGCGTGAGAGGAATCACCACAATTCATGCATTTAGCTGGCATGTAGCAATTTTTAGTTCCGTGGCCCCAACCCTGGCACTTACGGCACTGAGTAAGGTTTTGGAAATTTCCTCCAGTCTTCCTGAAGTGTTCCCACTTCACTCGGACATGGAGCATAAGGCTAGCTTTTTCTAAGGCCTTAAGGTTGTTTAGTTCACTAGACTTGAAGTGAACTAAATAAAAATCATTAGAAATCCCGTTGCGTGAATCGCCAGGACGGGATTTCATTTTCATTTTGATTACTTGGAGTGGCACAACTCCAAGTAATTTTGCCAGTTCATCTTTGATCTGATCCAGGGATTCACCACTGGGCAGTCCTTCCATGACAACCTTGAACACACGTTCAGTTTTGGTGTCGTAAGTAAAAAATTTGTGCTTCTTCTCAGTAAGATACTTGAGAAGACATTTAAATTCGTCCAAGGTTTCAGCCAATACACGGCATTCACCCCGACGTCCAATTTGTAGAGAAAACTTAACTTTTACGAAGTTCAAAAGTTCCATGCGAAGAGCATGGAAATCGGAAGTGGTTATCACAATAGGGGGAATCTTTTCCTTCTTGGCATTAAGCCGGGAAAGTTTACTAGAATTTTTCTTGGATGATGGATCATTCTCATCATCCGTGAGCAAATCAAATTGATTACTCAAATTAATTTCTTCAGAAGGGGGTTCAAGAGTTTGCCCCTTTCTTTTGCGTTTAGGCGCCATGGCGGCAGTAAATTTTTATCCAAATCGACTTCCAAGCAGATTACTATAAGAATCTGAAGGATCGAAGAGGAATTTTCCAAATCGATATCCAAGAAGGATTACCTCGGGTAGGGTCCAAACAAGGATCGAAGAGGAATAAAGTTGAACAAGGTAGAAATTTTACAGGTTGAGCACTGAAAAGTGCTGTTTAAATTTGTTGTAGCTTTAGGTAGTAGTAACACTTCCTTCAGCAAAAAGCAAATAGATCCGCACGGCAAGAGAGCACGATGCGGACTGATGCAATAATCTGTGATTACCACCGTTGCGTTAGCAGAGCAGTGAAATAGTAATGGTTTTGTTTTCCAACCAAAAAGCATTTCTGTTGATGTTACCATATTCTCAAGGTAACATGGTAAATTTGAAGTATTTTTTAACCATAAATGTTATTAATAATACTACATGAAATTCTATGGGGAGCATAGTCAAATGTCAGATAATCACGTTTCACCGTACATCCAATTTTGTTTGACTATCATATCGACGGCGATACTCTTACCAGAGTTACCAGTGTGACTGATCTAGGGGTTTAACTAGACACAAAAATGACTTTTGATTTACACCGTTCAGCGCTCATATCGAAAGCAACGCGACAGTTGGGTTTTATTTCCAAAGTTCCGAAGGATTTTTCGGATCCACATTGTTGGAAGTCATTGTACTGTGCACTTGTCCGTGAAATTTTGGAAAATGTGTCCGTCGTTTGGCATCCTCACCATGTCACGTGGTGCCTAAGGATCGAACGGGTTCAGAAACGGTTCATTCGTCTAGCACTGAGAAACTTGCCGTGGAGTGAGCCTGACAATTTGCCGCCGTACCCTGATAGATGCCGCCTGTTGGGCTTAGACACACTGGAACAACGACGGAAAGTACAGCTGTTGAATGGTAAAACTGATGCCCTCGACCTGCTTGCGATGTTGAACTTTCGTGTGCCGAGCAGATCTCTTCGGAATACAACGCTACTGCAACCAAGTTTTCACCGAACCATGTTTGGGAACAACGAACCAATCTCAGCGTGTATTCGTGCGTTTACGGCTGTCGAAGAGTTTTTCGAGTTCAATGAACCAACCGAACGTTTTGCAAATCGGATTAGGTCTTTGTTAAATTAGCTCTAATTTATTCATTAAGACTAAATTGTCAGATGAATTATTTTAAATACAAATACAAATACAAAATAGTAAATAAGTTAAAAACATAATAGAATTGAAAGAAGTATCGGTTGATTTTACTATGAGCTGTCATGGTATAATTAAACACATTTCAATGGTACGTGATACCGTACTATTTTTATCAGTGTATGGTTCTGTTATGATTATGAACAGCTTTTCGACTTATTTAAAGCAACATGTATGATAAGACTAAATATTAACATCTGTTCGGCAAGTTCTGTTCGTTTAGCATTTATTTTTATTTGAAAAATAGATTTTCCCATTTTCAATAAACATGCCTACATGCTGATTTTTGTTTCAGGGCCTAATGTTTTTTTTTTATTGATTCAAACATGTTATATCACTATTTCAACAAAACATATTTTTTAATCAACAAACAGATTATTGACTCTACAACCGGTTTGTTGATTCAAAAATATTTTTCTTTGAATGGACCACTTTGTCAAGCAGTTTTCCCGTGACTTTCTACCAGCGATTTCACAAAATTGGGCCAACAAATGACTATTTTACTATAAAACGCACTACTTTTGGCTACTTTTCTCGTGGTTCTACAAGAAAAACTCTCAAAATATTGTGTTATTTCGAAGATCGAGTGGTAGGAAACGTAATTTTCAACTGCTCGAATTAAATGGTTAATTAACCGAATAATATATTTAAATCAATACCAAAAATATATTAGGCCTTGAGCCAAAAATATATCCATACGATTTTGAAAATCATTTCTCTTCAACATTTTTGTCATTTGTTACTTTTTTACATTTTCACTTTATTCCGATGTTTTGGTACACGGACTTTGAATTGGATATTTATCTTTTTAAGTCTCGTGATTTTAGTACAAAAATGCTTATTTATTCAGTTTAGTGAGTGGCAAGCAATTTTATCCAGCTTTCCATGCTCGGTAATGGTGGCCTGTTTGTATGAATAAATGTATCCTTCACTGTGTTTATTGACACTAACTGGAGGGCGTATACATATATGTTGTTCCATTTTCTTCTGTTCCTGTGAGAGGGAAATGTACACTCAAAGATAAATTAAATCATAAAAGCTTAAAAAGTATGCAGTTTCCCGCTTCACCTTATTGAGTCCGAGCCATCATTACCTCGGCAATAGTCATGCATGATTAAAATCGAAATAATCTTTCCAGTATTAAATTTTTATTCATTTTCAATACTGATATATAATCAAAAAAGATTAAAATTCAATCAAAAATTATTAAAATAGAATCTAAAATGATTAAAATTTATTCAAAAAAAGATAATCTACAATCTAATCAACCATGATTAAACTGGGATTAATATCAGATGCTTATTTTTTAGAAAGAGAGGATTAATTTTTAATCATTCCATATGATTAAACTGAGTTTAATGTCAAATTGATTAAATTTCAAGCAAAATAGGAATAGTTCAATTTATCAGTGTAGGGGTCACAATCCGAACCTCCAGATAGTGTCAAAAAGGATACAGTGAAGGATACATTTATTCATACAAACAGGCCGCTATTACCGAGCATGTAAAGCTGGATAGCCAAAATTCATTTGTAAATACGTAATCACCCTAATAAAAAATAACCATAAACGAACGATAACCCAAATCATTGAACTATTCCACAAATGGTTGGGATGATACCCAGAACACGTCGTTAAGCAAATTAACCATACAATTTTTATTAGGGCAGCAATGCAGTGATTTTTTCTAGTGTACAGATAAATACAGACATATTTTTTTTACACTCATACAGAAAAATTCATCTGGCATTCCTGCTTGCGATGTTATTTTTTCTTTGCGATGTTATATTTGACAGTTTTGATGCCGGACGCTGTTATTTGCCATGGCATCAATCCAAACATAAAAGTGCTGACCATTGTTAACAATTTTTTTTTTCAATTGTCCCGCCAGCACATCGTAAATTGAATTATTTAAAATTTGTCTAGTTGGTGATTATTCTAAAAGATGGATTTTATAGAACAGTTTAAAAATACAACCCTCAACCTACCAAAGCTTCCCGTCCACTACATTGAGACGATCCGTTCAGAGAACGGCCAAGTGGTGAGTGATATAAACTCGGTTCCGTGAGGTTGAGCGTCATTAGGTTCACAATATTGTTGTCGGTAATCCTTTAAGGTAAAATGGGTGTTTATTTTCAATGTAGATACCTGACCACTTGCAATGCAACTCGAAGCAGCCGTTCGACTCAGGTCCAGTGTGCAAGACTGGAATCCTCAGTTACAAAGTGCTTGCCGAAGGAGAAGGCGTGAAGACCGTTTACGAAGTGTCGATAAAGGAACCTCCGGTAAGTCCTTCGTATTTGTTTTTTTTTGTAGGATCAGTCATTATTGATGGTTTTTATTTCCCGTCAGAATATGGTTGACTACTTGCCCGGAGATACTATTGGGATCCTTACGCAAAATCTAAGCTCAGACGTAAGCTTCGTACTGGACCGTTTACATCTGGTTGAAATCGCGGATTGTGTTTACGAGGTCAAATTGGCTAAGCCAATAAAGAAAAAGAATCCGGAACTACCGCCATATGTTCCGAAATTCATCACTCCACGAAGATTATTGACAGAATGCTTGGACTTTAGAATTATCCCACGAAAGGTAACAAAAGTGGCTAATAATGTCGAGACAGAGAATATTGAAAATAATTTTACATATTGTAATTTGTATTACAGATAACTTTACAAGTTCTAGCCAATTACACTTCCGATCCATGTGAAAAACGACTTCTCGAAATTTTGGCTTCTAAAGAGGGTGCTTCCTTCTACAACGAATTCATTCTGAAGAATGAGATGACCTTTTTGCATATGTTGAAAATTTTGTCCTCCTGTCGTCCATCGCTCGCTATGTTGATTGAGCATTTGCCCCGCTTGCTGGCAAGACCATATTCTATAGCGAATTATGATAAGGGCAGCCATATTCGGATTATTTTTGCGATGTTAAACGATGGCAAAATCGGAATCACATCAACAATGTTGGAGAACAAACTACTCTATGCAGCCCGATACGACAAGTACATTTACATGTACCTCAGGCAAATAAAACCTGTTTTCCAATATCGAGAGGAAGATCTGGAGAAGAATATCATAATGATAGGCCCCGGAACTGGAATATCGCCATACATGGGTTTCCTCGAGTATCGCAAACGTGCCAAACAGGTCAACAAGAAAGTAAAGCTTGGTTCAGCACTTTTGCTCACAAGTTGTCGACATCGAGAACGCAATTACTTGTGTGAAGATGAAATACAACAGTACGTACAGCTGGGACTGCTGGACAACGTATATGAAGCATTTTCACGGGATGCCGACAGTAGATACAAGTTTGTGCAGGATATCATTGAAGATAAAAAGGAAGAATTGATCAAGCTTCTGCTAGATGACAACACCAAGCTATATCTATGTGGTGAAGGTCGGACAATGCTACCAAGAATACAGGACACCATTGCCACATGTTTGAGCAAAATAAAAGGCATACCCAAAGTGGAATCCGACGCTTTGATGGGTGAGTACAAGAAAATGGGTAAATATCTGTACTATTCAATGATACGTTACTAGTACTGCGTTGTAATAAACGTTTGAGTAATAGGTTCAGAAGTAATATTTACATGAGAAAGACCATGAAAAGCAATGAAATAATAAGACTTGAATATTTTAGTCTGCTCTACGGCCAATCAAACCCAGGGTTAATTAGTACATAGCTCGGTACATCATGTAGTATAGGCAATCTTGCAATGAGCACTTATACAGCTAGTTTTCACTGGAAATCCTATGTATGAGTGCTCATTGCAAGACAGCCTATATTACATGATATAAGCCATAGTATGTACGGGGTATAAGGATCATCCACAAATCATGTACAGGGGGGATGGAGCACATTTCATACAGTTGTTTACAATTGGAGGGGGGCGAGGGTTGACATTTTCTTACATAAAATTTAATAGTTCAAGAAAATTATTTTGTCTACCGGTTTCTATGCCAAAAACCCTAAACATTAAATGATCAAAAGAAAAAGTGATCAATGTTCCAACGATTTTATTCAAAATTTTGAAATCTTACAAAGCTTTAAGGGAGGGAGGGTGGCTCAAAAATTCACTCAAAACACCTTAAATAATTTGAGATGCTATTTACCCTGGTGCGTTCTCCAAAAATTCAAACCCTGCTTCTTTTCGGCTTATCAGATTAAAAGCAGCTATCGTTGCATTTTTCTGCCTTTTTTCATGAAATGATTACCGCTTTTTGCTATATGAAATTGCCAGAACTTCTGTTAAACCACTTGTTTGACCGATCTGTTGATAAGGTTAACATCATTGGTGCTTCATCCAGCGTGTTGATGTAAAACAACAATAAACATTTAACAGATAATACACACAAACGTGGACAAACGAATAAACACCATGAAAATTTAAGTTAAATTCTTAAATTAATCGTAAACTAGTAGAAAAGTAAGGCTTAATTCTAAACTTCAGGCTAATCAATGAAAATTGCGATTCAGTAAAAGCAATGTGACTAGGTAAATTATTATTTAACTTGCTTTCTATAAAAATACTATAATAATACATGTGTTATAATAGGTGGCAATTACTTCAGCTTTGCACTGGGCGACATTTTGCCTAAAAATAGAAACTTAAAAGTAAGTATTGCGCATTTCACACCAAATTGGACTAATAAGCGCGTTTTCACTTATTAAAAAGTGTGATAAAATTGCAAGTTTACGTCTAATCGTCTTGGTGTCTTCGGTGCACTTATTCCTTATGATGCAAGCAATAAGTGCTCCCAAGACATCAAAACGATTTGACGGAAACGTGCACTTTTATCACACTTTTTGCATTTTTGGAACAGTCCAGTTTCAGATGCAATCAGCAATACATAAGATATAATATGAAGTGAAGTTAAACTGCAAATTTAAACTATTATCACAGATTGTTATTTGTACGGAAATACATAATACGATTATAATTTCTCAATTCGGAAGATAGTTTCGGGTTAAATGGAAGAACACGAAAATGTAAGATGAATTTGTTTGAACTCGATTAACATTATAATTTACACATTTAGGCTGTGTTCCATTTGGTGAATTTTCACTTAAATTTGATTGACAGAAAATTTTCAAATAAACCTGCTATTGTACTAGGCTTATTTCTGACAGGCCGTAAAAAAAAGAACGATATAGGTACAATGAAATGTATTGTAACCATACAATAGAATATAATGTACTTAAAATAAATTGTATCGTCCACAACTATAAAATAACCATAGAATTTATTGTTTTCACAATATAATCTATGGTAAATGGAGAAATCTACAATAGAACAAGGGGGTTGTTATGTATCTTAACCATACAAAAAATCACTTTTTCCCGAACAAACTTGAGCCATTTACCATTTATTTTATTGTTTTTCTATTGTTGAAAATTCATACTAAATGGGACGTATTGTACATCTAATGTAATAACAATATGTTAAAATTTGTTGTACAATATACGCACAATAAGATTGATTGTTGGCAATAGATTTGGATGTATTTGTATTTTATTTAATGGTAATTGTATGGTTATTTTTTTCCGGGTAGGAATCAATTTTGAAGATAACACCTTCTCGAAAATCAGACGATCAACAACAGAGGGATTTTCAAACATTATAATTTATTTTCGAAGTGTCAAATTTATGTGAGAAATTCACCAAATGGAACACAGCCTTAATATATTACACCTTTGAAGCTGCGTCCAACTTGCTATCGGGACGCGTTTCTCTCTCAATCCGAAACAAACTTCAAAGATTTTCTGATGATCAAGTCTATCGAACGGAAGATGGATAACGGCGCCGGTGGTGTAGTGGTAAGCGTGATTACCTCTCACCCCAGCAGGCCTGGGTTCAATCCCAGTCGGCGCCGCCGGGTTGTTCTGAGGTATAACATCTCTGATCACGCCTTCCTTCGGATGGGAAGTAAAGTCGTTGGTCCCCGGTTCATGAGTTGATGGGTCGATAGGTAGGGTCCAGGTGTGGGAGCTGCCTTCCTGGCACGTCGGTAGCATTGGTGCTCAGCACGGAAAACAAGATCGACGGAAAAAACAAACCAAAGAAAAAAAAAAAAAAAAAACGGAAGATGGACGGAAAACATTGCGTCAAATTTTGTGATACCTGTGCGATGATGCACCTTGGATGCGCGGGAGTGAGTGACTACATGGCCGAAGTTGATCGCAGTTGGAGATGCGATCAGTGCCGTGAAGGTGATTCTGCGTTGCAGTCCCGAAGTTTGTACAAAATAATCCGTTACAAACTTCGTCAAGATACATAGTTTGTCAGTTATTAAAAATTAATTCATTAAAAAATAATAATTAAAAGACAGCTGCAGCGCAATAGCTCTTAAAAACTGTAAGTGTAGTTGCACGTTTAATGTGTCTAGGCACCGAATTGAACATATTTATGACTTTAAAATACAGTGAATTTTATAAAGTACAGGTCAAGAAATGTGGTGTTCTTATTTCATGCGCGTTTCTAGTATTATATCTATGAAAGTCACTTCCTCTTTCAATTCGATCACACAAATATCGAGGCAGCAAACCGTTAACTACTTTAAAAATGAACACCATAATCAAATATACAATGCTTTGCTTCACTGACAACCATTCCAAAGCGTCTAGCATCAGAGTTGAGGAAGTGAATCTATTACATCTTAAAATCAAACGCATTATTTTATTCTTCAAGCGCAGTAATCTCGATATTTGTGTTGCATTGGCCAAAAATTAAATGGAAGGACAAAAGTCTAGATGAGGAGAGATGATTGATTTGTATAGCTGTATTTTACTGGTAATAAATAGTTAAACCGTTTTCCAATCTACATAAAATTGGTGACACTGTCAATGTGAGAGTCAAACTTAAGTTTATCATCAATAATCACGCCAAGATAATTAATCTCCCGAGCGCGATCAATAGCCTCATCATCATTTACTCGATTCCGGGAAATTACCATGAATTTAGTTTTACTTATATTCAATCTCTATTGCTTATACTTAGCCCTGTTCTACCTGCGGCTCTGTTTAGAGAATGCAAATATTCATTCAAGTGTAAAACTGTATCATCTAAATCCTTAGCTGCAATGAATAACACAGCATCATCTTAAAAAAGATGAATGTCGAGCAATTGTAAATCACGTCGTATTTCATTAATATACATAATTAATAAAATGGAGTCTTAATACACTTCCCTGGGGCACTCCAAGGTTATTCCACATGTGACTTGAAACACAATTATTAAAAAAAGTTCGTTGAGTCCTGTCACAAAAATAGCTTTCAAACCATTTAGTACTCGTAATCCCAAAGCGCTTGATTGATCGTAACAATAACGGCCTAGAAATTGTTTCAAAAGCGCGTTTTAGATTAGAAAATAGCAACAACCGTATCTTTACGCTCCAAGTTATCTTTCCACTTCGCTAATACCAAATTCAACGCACTTTCACAAGAATGACCTTCCCGATATCCCGATTGTTCTGGTATCAACAAACTATTACTATTTAAATACTCCAAGAACTGGCCTTTCACAACAAGTTCTAAAATTTTCTCTAATGTGTGCAACATGTTGATGGGGCGAAATTCTTCGGCTTTAATCGTTCCAGCAACTTTTTCAATAGGAACCACCAAGGACTAGGTCTAGGACTGTGTCTCTAGTCCTCTGGACTTTGTGTCAATATGTTTTGTTCGTTTCTAAACATTGTCGCCTTCTACCATCTTGATGCAGCTTTGATTATCCTCAAATGTAGGTACAGGGCATGATGCATCTTCGTCGAAATCCTTCAACAACTTGATTATCCAGCACTGCTCCATGCATAACACTGACAGCGCAAAAAACTCTGCATCAATAGATGTTAACGAGACCATCGAATCGAGTCTTCGTCATGCTCTCTCCTCCAAATCGATCTAAACATCCGTTTCTAATAGATCTTATAATATCTTTGTTGTGGGAGCATATTAGTTGATAGAGGGGACAAGTTGCCCCGCCTAATTGAAGAATTAACAATTTTAGTATTGTCGAAAAAATATACTGCTGTGTTAACTGCCACTGAAGAAATATAAATGATTACAGGTTACTAGAAATATTCCCAATGCAATAGATATATGTACGTGATTGTTCGGTTAATTAAAGTGAAAATGGTAAAAACATAACTGTTTTTCCCTAAGTGCGGCGTGTTATACTTGTTTACCCTATTAAATTTACCATTGTATAAAGGGCCAAAAACGGAGCGTGGACCCGTAGACAAACCCTAATAAACGGGTACCATACTCTAACGATATCATAGATGGTACGACCATCCCACATAAAGTTGGGATGATATCCCGAATTGGTTGTTATGCGCTTCTTATGGTTATTGTTTATGCGGGAAGACACTTACCCATGATCCACGGAAATAAGAAGACTGGACAGATCTCCTTCTAATGATGAAAATGTTCCAACCCGATACCGAGCCCGATACAGAATACGCCATCATACGAGGAAATATCCTAATAAGTGGGAAGAAGAGTCCACCTTCAATACAGGAAATGTTAATTTGTTTATATGTATATCACATTTTAATATTACCTTTTTTAACTTACCATTTCCTAACCTACTTACCTCTGGATCGAAAAGACAACAAAACTCTTTTTAATAACATAAATAAAATAAAATAATCATTTAGGCCGACATCGATGAAGATACGTAAAATTACACAACTTATGGAATGACCTGAGTGCAGCAATTTCGATGTAATATTCATCTTTTTTTGCTGTTAAGTCTTCCTCCTCGTCTTCCTCTTTAATAAATAAATGCCAACAATCAAACAAAAAGAAGTTCGTTATTTTCATCAGTGCATCAACTACCAAACTCGATCCACCACCTCCTCCATGCACTTGATGCATAATCAAAACATCGCATGCATAAATATTTTTGTTCTGAATTTTCGTACGTGTTGTGTTCTGTTGTCCAACGTGTTTCGGAAGATAAGTGTTATTTTCTGCAATTAAAATGGACATAAGTGAAATCATCAGCCATTATCAAAACATCGAAATTAAATTACCACCTGCCCCTATATCGTTCATAAATATTACGGAAGTCAGTAAAGATGTGGTAAGTATGTTATTTTAGCATAATGTTTGTGTGGTTTTATCATTGGCGTTCATAATTACAGTGTATCGAGAAATTGCCTGTAACAACTGTCCTTATATTATAGAAATATAATATTGTAGGTATACATTTGATCTAAAAAGATAGGTTTCTGAGTTTTGGGTCAACTTAACAACCCCCTGCTCTTTCGATGTGTATTGAGGTTTACAACAACTGTGCCAAATTTGGTTATGGTCTGGATTTCCGGGAGAACTTGAAAGTTTGTATGGGAATATGTTAGGTAAACGGAACAAAACTATTCATTTGAGTGTCAAAAAATCAAAAATTGCTCAATTTTTATCAAACCTGATTGATATAGTTGTTGGGGACCTGAACACAGATTGAAAAAGCACTGGTGAGCAAGCGGTTGTGATCCGCCATACAATCTTGGCCCACCCTAATGTACACAGATTATGTACCTAGTATCTAGGGGCCATGCATTAATTATGTCACGGTAATATGAGGAAACATTTGAGCTTACAATGCTTCACGATAGATAATAACAATAATTGCATTTGTTGTAACTGAATGTTTGGCCCCCGTTCGACTGTTTGCACTGGCTACCAAGTGACAAGCACATTAAGTTGGTCCGCAATACCCAGGTTCAGACTAAAGAGTTATAACATGTTATAATGCCAAGATAGCCCTTTGACATTTTAAACACTGGCTAGACAGAGCTGTTACAACATGTGATAAACCTATATTGATGACATTTTTCTTGTCAATATGTAATTATTAAAACATGTTCTAACTCTCCCTCCCCTTGGCTAGTTTTTGCACCTTGATGCTGGTGGGCGGGCTTAATTTCATGCTTTTTAGTGGAGTGTTGGAGACGGTAGGTTTATGGCCGGCGTTGCTGGCTCATGCCGCGATAGAATGGCGCCATGGGCAGGCAATGGGAATTACTAAACTTACCCTCTCTGATAAACCACTGCATGAGAGAACCAAAGATCTAGTCTAGCAGTGATAGTATCACACTTGTTACTCCTTCGATTGAGAGCCGCGTCGTAGTACGCTTACGTATAGGCACTGACGTTGGGTGTGATACTGGCGGGTTTTGCCGCAAATCACTCTTAATTTATTTATTTTTACGCAGATAGATTTATTTTGGTTTGCAAGGGAATTATACTATTGAAATATTTCAGAAAGTGCCCATCGATGCTCCTTCTATTTGCGTGACAAGCTTTCATTGTTGTTTTCATTGAGGTATTACTCAGGGAACAATGTTAAACGCCATTTTTGTACATGGTATTGTAACTAATCTTATATGTGCTTCATTTTGATTTGGGATAAGTGTTTGAACTATGACTCGGGATTTCCACTGTGGTGTGCTTCTATTGTGACATACCCATATGTATTTTTTGTGGTGCGACATAGTGGAAACGTGAGAGCGTAATTTGAACATTTACCCTATACAATATACACTTTAAAATTAGCTTGGAAACTTACTTCAAAGTGAAGCATTTTAGTCACTTGAAGGTCAAAGCCAGAAGTACTTGAAACACGTTAAATTTAAGTTTAAAAGCATGGGTTATGATTGTGTAGGTAGATTAGAGATTTCAGTTATTTATTAAATAAACTTCAATTAGAGAATTCAGAAAGTTAATTAACATAAGAGATAGGACGCGGGGGGTCCGCTTAGGGAGGCGACTAGCCTTTGAAGTTGTATAATAAATCTTCCTATTTAGTGTATTTGTTAATTACAGGCAATGTTAATAGCGAAAGTCATATCTTCAACCAGACGCTTACGAACAAGTAAAGTTTTAGGAAAGATGTGTTAAATATGTTGATAGGTTTGAAATAAGAATTAGGATTGTTGTGCTTTAGGTAAGGTATGATGTGTCAACAAAACCCTTTTGAGCAAATTTTCAGACATCAAAGTGATTGAGTGATTTATTGAAAGACATTGCGTTGCGAAAATTGACAAGTCATACCATCTAACATAGTAGTAGTAGCAGTGTCGCATAATCTTATCATAATTGCTGCAAATAGTACTGGAGGGGCCGGCAGGACTGAATACGGATCAAAACTAACATAACTACTAACACTAAAATCATCCCGGAACTAACACTTATCCATTGCACTAGTTATATATTAGTTTTATTTTCCTACTAAGTTATCTATGCTTCTTTCTAGTGTTTGGATCAAGTACAACTAATACTAATCTACCTTTATGTATGTTTTACTCCCTTTTAACCCATTATCTTTATGAATGGCGAATCATATGACGTGAGACACGGGGATTTCAATTGACTAAGGAGAAGGAAAAGAATAACTTCGAACAGGATATCAAACAAATTCAGGACCAATCCAAATGAGACCAGAAATCAACAAGGCATCGGGGCGTTATATACTCGGAGAGGTATTTGATAAATAATCAAAAAGTGGTAAGTTAAAATCATAGTGGACCCAAGGATCATGAGAGGTAATTGTCTATAATTCATTAATTAGTAGAAATCTCGATAACTTTTTCAAGGGAGCGTATCGGCTTTTGTAGGCGGTGCGTTTGGTCGTCGATTTGGCGTAGCTGGTGGCTCGCCCACGCATGCTAGCACTATCATCAGATAGGGAAATTTTCCTCTACCTGGTAGTGGTGTTGGTAGGCGTGTGCGGGCTGCCGGTTGCGCCAGGTCGACGATCGGATGCATTGTTTGCAGGAGCTGGTGCTTCCCTTTGAAAAAGTAATCGAGAAACAACCATATTATCCTGTAATTGATATTACTATTTTTATATATCAATGAAATTAGTCATGACAGAGTAGGAAGTACAATAGACACAAGTTGACACAATAAACAAGAAAAGTGGGGGCTAATACACAAGACAAAATGACAAATTAAGTGACGACAGAAGACAAGACTGGGACAAAAATCAACCTTAAAAAAAAAAATGCGCAATTATATTATCAAAACTATTTGGATCAGCACAAAAACAACAGTGACCAAACGGGCACCATAGCCTAGGAACGTCTGTGTGTTGATTTAAAATAGAGGCTCATAGAAGCAAAATTTATCAATAAAAGGGGTCCAGTGTAGAGTTTAAGCAAGTGCTGCCACTGGATCACTACAAAAAAAAAAAATTAAAGCATGTTCTAACTCTGTAGTCTAAACAAAGCATTACTTGTTGATAATTATTATAAAATGTAACCAAGGTTGCTTCCACTCACATTGCTATAAAAAATGTTTTTCGGAATAATTAAATCGTTAGATGTCATAATGATATTTTGTTTGATTGACAGGTTTCATGTGAAAAATTCATTCTTTACAACCTCTTCTTGTAATTTACATATAAAAAATATCATCAACATCTAATGATTTCATAATTCCTAAAACCTTTTTTTTTAATAGCGAAATGAGTGATAGCAATCCGGCATGTAACTCTGCAGTCTGAAAATAGCATTTAAATTGAATAAAATATAATATGAGAAGTAGAGTGCTTCTATCCTGAACGTCTAACCACACATGTTTATAGTGCCGTTCAACGCATAAGTGTGCTACGGTTTACATAGAACATGTGACTGTTATGCATATAATGGCAGTATATAGATGTACACAAACGGTTTGATTGCCGAACAAAACCCGATTTCGTCCCTTAATTGTACAACCAATTGTAGTAATAATGGTAATAAACCTAATTACATCAATTTCTAGGATCATTTCGATGAGAAGGTACATTTACAAGCAGCTTGTAGTCAGCCCTTTGAAGCGACTGGTGTATTCAAATATGCCATCGAGAAGTATAGGATCATCGCCCAAGGTGACGATATCAAATCCGTATATGATCTGACGCTCAACACTAAATCCAGCATCGATTACATGTTCAACCCCGGGGACACTGTGGGAGTTCTAACCAGAAATTCCGAGGAGGATGTGGCTGACCTGTTGAGGCACCTGGATTTGGAGTCTGCCAGTGATCAGATCCTTCGGGTTGAGATTGATCCATCTACCAAAAAGAAATCTGCCAAGCTTCCTCCTTACATTCCTCCTATCGTACAGATCGGAAAGCTTATACAAGAATGTCTGGATTTGAAGGCATTTCCTAAGAAGGTTATTATTTGTTTCAAGTTATGATTTCAAACCAATGATTTTTTTTTTACAATTTGCAGCTATTTCTTCGAGCACTGTTAGACCACACAACAAACGATTTGGAAAGAAATTTACTTTCGTTATTATGCAGCAAAGTAGGACATGTTTATGACGATGTCATCCTTGAATCAAGGTTGGGCTTCGTTACTTTGCTGAAAAGTCTCCCCAACTGCAAACCACCGATATCAGTACTTATCGAGCATCTACCGCGCTTGATGCCACGACCATATTCGATTGGAAACTATCACGATGGACCTGGACTGGTCGGGAAACTGAGAGTAATTTTCTCTCTAAACGATGAACGCCCAGGATTAACAACCACAATGCTTAAAAATTGCTGCATTAACGGAGACCCAATATTTCTGTACTTCAGAAAATCAACACACTTTACCTACACGGAGGATGATGTACCAAATGATATTGTAATGCTTGGAGTTGGCACAGGAATTGCTCCGTACCTCAGTTTCTTAGAAAAACGCTCGAAAGCTATGAATTCCAAATCACTGGGGAAAACGTGGCTGTTCGCTGGATTCAGATATGAACAATGCAACTATCTATGCCGCGATGAGCTCGAACAGTACATGAAAACGAAAATGTTGAACAACCTTTCGGTGGCATTTTCACGAGACCAAGGCGCACAGTTTCGATATGTCCAAGACCAGATTGAGGCCAATAAAGAAGCGTTAGTGAAGATGTTGTGCGGATCCGAATGTAAATTGTTTGTCTGTGGCGATGGCAAAACGATGCTACCTCAAATTGAACGTAAGTTTGCGGAAATCGTAGGTAGTGTACAAGGTATTGGGCCAGATGAATCAGCAAACCTGATAGCTGATTTTAAGAAAAACCAGAAATATGTGGAGGATATATGGTTGTGAGCTTTCGATATAATAGATATTTTGTTTAAACGCGCACATTTTGGTCTAATTATTGTTCAAGTGATTTCACATGCCCCTGTAACATGACAACAATATTTCTGCCAAATGTGAAGCAAATATGTACAAAATTGGTTCGACCGAAACCTAGATAATAATCAATATTACCGTGCATGCATTGTGAACAGCTCCATATTCTGGACGGCAAAAGATATACCTTAAATCAAGCTGAACATTGCATTAGGTCCAAAGTAACAGATTCTCTTCGTCGACTTTCTCTTTGCATCCCCACGGCCATGTAAAAATATTCCTAGGTAGGCGAACAAGGGGCAAGTGTGCCACCTAAATCGGTTTCGACCTGAAAACATTCATTTTGTAACAAAAAACTATCAGCAGCTGGTACGTTTATTTGTAAGTCAATGGTTATTTACTATTTACGAGATGAACTAGCCTCAGGCTAAAAATCTCAAAAATATAAGTAAAAAAAAAAATATATTTACCATTGATTCATTATGACTTTCAATAACTTGGAAAATTTATACTTTTTGGGTAGTAGATTAGGTTGTATATAGTAGTTGTAGGTTAGTAGTGTCACTTGAAAATTCATACATGTAAACAACACTAATTCGAGAAATAAAGATCGTTTAGTCAAAAAAAATGCTTATTTCGTGGTGGAGGAAGTTTCCTCTACCAACAAGTAATTTTTGAATTCATGATGCATGGCTGTTCATGGCTAGTCAATATGGAAATGTAAACAATCGAATTAATAATCTAATTTAAAAGTCATCTTATCTTTAAATTGTTGTTCTCTGAGCCCTGTATGTTTTACAGCTTATTTTCAAATAAATATTATCCTTTATTTGGCGGACAGTCATATGGATGCTCATCAGTTGATGACGAATTCAAGCATAATACCCCGTTCACATTACAGCGTATATCACGTGATATACGCTGTCTTGCAATGAGCACTCATACATCTAGTTTGCACTGGAAATCCTATGTATGAGTGCTCATTGCAAGACAGCCTATATAGGCTGATATAGGCTGTAATGTGAACGGGGTATAAGGAAATCATCCGAACTTCGACAGCATATTGTTAAAGGGCTCGAACAATACAATAATCAGTCGAAGTATTGCGGATGTTTTCGTTCAGTGTAGAGCATGTGTATAAGAGTCACGTCAAATGAAAAACAGTGCAACTCACATCACGGTTTGCGAAAGATTCCTTCCCTTTCACTTGGCAACAGAGGACTTTTGCATCAACTTCAAATGACTTCTAGCGAAAATGCAAATTTTCGGCTGTAATAAATCATTATACCAGTGATTTTGTCGAATTATCAACAAAAAATATTATAAACTCTCATCACTGATCATTACCAAACGTATCCAATGACAATTTAAAGCCCACTGCGTGTTTATGATCAGTTCTTCGATTATGTCTTATATTTTTTGCAATACCTTTCGTGGAGCTTTCATAGCATCGTAATGTTTGTTTATTTTGCACGATAGGTAGCTGTTGACAGTTATTAAAACAAAAAGTCACATTCCCTACATTATTTGTGGAAATAATAAATAAATAAAAGTAACGTTTTTTTTTATGCCGTATGCATAAGGTACACTGAGGCAAAATATCTTAAGTATTTCATGTCTTATGAATCTGGACAATTTTGATTTCATAAGATATTTATGAATTTCATAGGTATGAGATATTCATTTCATAAGTACGACTTATAAATGATTATCGTAATACATGAGGTACTACGAGAGGTTCTTATACACCTTTCCTATTATAATACCCAAGGGTTTATAGAAGTGGGAACAAATCACGGAGTCAACCATCTGAACGCTCAGAATTCGATTCTGGTCTGCTATATCTTATATTACTTTTTTAAGTTTCATAAACAAGCGGTGCCGGTGCTGTAGAGGTAAGCGTGATTACCTCTCACCCCAGCAGGCCTGGGTTCAATCCCAGTCGGTGCCGCCGGGATGTTCTGAGGCATAACATCTCTGATCACGCCTTCCTTCGGAAGGGAAGTAAAGCCGTTGGTCCCCGTTGGCCGTTGGTAATCACCACCGGCGCTGGTGAAATTTCGTAAGTAGTTCTTATAGGATTCTAACGTTCCTTTGTCTAAGAAATTAGAACATGAATAAAACAACAATTAATATATAAAATGTTGGCTGAAACCCTTACCCAGCAGAGACATGCAATTTAGCCGCTATTTGCCTAATTTTTGCCCACACCCTCCCCTTGACTACACTGAAACAAATTGACATGTACCGTTTATTGGATCCATCTTATAACATAGCAATGTCAGCAGATTTATTCATTCTATGTGATGATTGATAGATTCCATTAAATTATCACTTAAAAATTATGACTGCGATATGGAATGATTTCTATCGTAATTTCACATACTTAGTACTTGATAATACTTTGCTTCGAGCGTGGTTAGCGATAGATAAATTGTATATGAATATTGTCTGATATATTTCATGGTGAAAAACTAGTGATATGTAAAGGGTGGGAACAGACATCTAGAAACTAATGGAAAATCATATAAGTTTGCACTATGAGACAATTCAGTAAAATATACCTGTTCTCATGATGAATATTGCTCACTAAAAGATATATCTTATAAGATAACTATGTTTATTTTATTGGAGTTGCTTTTAACGATTTTTGACGTTTGTTGATATGTCGCGTGTAAACAGACATGTAGAAACTATTGGACAGTCATTCAACTTTGCAGTATAGGAAAACATGTATATCTCATTGTAATAGCTTCCTTTGATTTTTGACTTTTATAGATTGTAAACAGATCTATCCCAATCATTATATAGTCATAGATTTGCCTTTTAAGAAATCCAACAGCAAACATTTGTTTTGGCATGGTTTTCTGGGATGAATATCGCTCCCAATAAAATGATTGTTCTTCATAAATTATTGAAACAATTTTCAATGATGTTATCGTACACTCATTAAAATGATTAGTCGAACTAAATATAGCTGGCAACAATGATACTGTATTGAATAATCCTTGTTTGTTATTGTTCCATAAGATAAAGGGTTCCGGAAAAATATGTATTGAGATTGAAAAAAATGATTCTACTGCAATATTTGCTTTGCTAAGATTCTATGTACGCCTTCTACATACGGCTAATTCTTGAACCAGTTCCATGAACTCATATAATGTAGTCGTTGTTTTATTGCACACAGGAGCATTAAGAAAGATTTGAATACACGACACCACCGAAACGGAGCATAAATTTGTCAGTGCTGTTTTTCTTCACTAGCAAAACGAGCATAACGTTGCACTACATTCCATGTCGGGAGTGCTGTTCTTACTTCATGCTAATTGAACGAGCTCAATACTGAAGTCAGCCGTGGCCCAGTGGAATCGAGCGCAGACACCGAAAGCATCACACCTCAACAGTTTTTGATCGAATCCCAAATCAGCTACAATAAGAAAAGACACAACTGTGAAAGCTTCCACTGCCTGATGTTTATTTTTCGATTTATTTTTAGAAATCGATTAAATATATGTGTCAAGAGAAGAAGTAAATTTCATTTGATTTTTACATAAACTTTACTTCGATTGATTAATGGCACATAGGGTTAATTACCCCATTTCCGGTCTATTAAGCACAACCTGCACTTAGTCTTTCTTAATCTAGCGCAGTTTAGCACCAAAAGGAATGTTATTACTACTGATGGCTTCCAAATTTATTTACCTTTCCGTACGTACCGTAAGATTTGATAAAGAAAAACCAATCGTTGAGATATTGTCAAAAGTCTAACACTGCTTCTTGACGCCAAACTCGGCCACATTCTAAACTCGGTCTAACGCATTCAACCCGGGGGCAACTTGACAAGTCCAGTACATTTCCAGTGTACTCCGAAAATTTGGTGCTGATGGTTCTGTCAAACTCACAAATTTCAGAAGTGTTATCTGAATAGGGCGAATGCAGATATGTAAATAAAGTAAATAAAATACTGAACATAAAAACAGATAGCCTCATCTGTTTCTTGAAACTTCAAGTTGGTGGGGAACAATGTTAATTAAACGGACGGGTGTAACAAAAGACAATCACTGAAATTTATTCGTTTTAGAAGCTCATTATGAATATCTTTTGTTGAGAGACGCTTATTTTAATTTATTTTATTTATTTCTTCATGTTTGAATGAATATACGAAATGTTAGTGTTCACACAGCAAACATGCTACTCACCGCGAATAAGAATCAATTTTGTATTTTTTTCACCCCTCAATAGAAAGATGGGGAAGTAAACTGTTTTTAATAATACGGCTTTTTATTGCAAGTCTTCACCGCACAAGTATGCTCAGAAACATTATTCTCGAGACTGATAATATTCAAGAGCAAAATATAATAGAATTAACCAATGTGTTTTTATTTCTATTTGATTATATAAGAAAAACTTCCATCAATCTGTTCCAATTTATTTGGATTTATTTCATTTCACCACGAAAATCATAAATCGCTCTTTTCACATGGCATTCTTGCTTGTTGCTTGACATCCACACATGGTGAAACAAAAAGTTGCCTTCCCATAGAGAAATACCATTGCGGCGGTGAAGGGCAGTCCCTTTGTTTACGTTGTGTGGCGACATCTACTATTTGCAAGTGGGTACGTGAAACTGAGATTATCTGTCACCTTGCCGGGGAGTTGAACGCATTGAAACGCCAATGAATTCACTTCGGCCTATCGGATGAAGATAAAAATTGATTTGGTAGGAGCGCTTCTTTTGTTTTTGGGAATTATGGGTGCAAACTTTCATATCACGCGTTCTCATTGACTTCGTTCGGTAGCTTATTAACTAAAGAATCGCAACAAACGCATAATTGACTTGTTAACTCTGAAATCATGTATTTATTTGAAGTTTTCTGGTCGATAGGCCCAAAATGGGCGACTAAGCCGAAGTAGTTCTCTACCCTATATTATATTGTGGTGAAAAGTGAAGCTTTTGCTTATGTGTTTCAAATCCATTTCAGTTAATTATTATAATTT